GTGCAATGTGAGGCAAGCTTGGCTCATCCTTGCAGGAGCAACTTCATCCCATATTATTAAGTTACTCCTCTGCCTGCTTGGTTGTCAAATTATGATGTGCCAGCTTTGCAATTTATATTTCTGGGTTTCCCAGGGCAAAGGATTTTTGGCTATGGAAGCAAAACATCAGCAAGAATATAAGGACTGAGCAAGAGAAGGCGTACTTAGCATGATAAATCAGCCGTTTCATTTGCCGTTTCATTTGCCTTAGCAAGAGGTATCCACTCAAGGTCCATCTGCAAAAGTTCATATAAATATACCTTTTGACAGAAGCAACTCCGTTAAAATCAGGAGCTTGGGACCACCGAAAAATTGCCATAACTAGGATAAAAATCAGGTCCTGTCCATCTTTTTATCTGGTTCTGTAAAGAATATCCCAACTAAGATTTCCACGTCTTACAAATACCCAGCCTTTTCACGTGGAATAAGGAAAGTGTTGCTCGCTCCCTTCCCAAACCAACATGGCTAAGAGAAAGATAAAAAGCTGAAGGTTAAGGATAAAGTCTGTTGGAAATGACAATAGTAACCAGGCCCACTTCTCTATTACAAGAAGGTGGCCAGTATCTCATTTTTATTTGGATCCTAAATGCTAAAGTAAATAAACTCAAAGCTACATTTTTAACTTACTGTGACATTGCTGCAGCTGGGCTGTAGCTGCCAATGCTCTGGCTGCTGCCATACCTGTGAGGAGAGCAGCTTGCTGCCCTCAGCAAAAAGGGATAGAGGCAATTAAAACTATCCAATCCCACCTGCTTTTAGCTATCATCTGAAATTCCTGCCAGGAAAAGCTGGTACAGCTGTTGCAAGTTAAAAGTGGTGTAGTCAGGCTTAAGTAGATGCACACCATTCTTCAAATGAGTTTTTTGCCCTCCAGATGTTATGTCTTTGGCCAGAGTATCCTCTGCCTACTGTACTTTCCTTGCGTCAGGCAGGTGCTGAACGTTGCAGCATCTGGAGAGGTGTCAGCACTGCACTACAAATCAGCTTTCTCTCAGGACAGGATGTTACCACTTTGCTCTGTGGTTCATGGTCTGCCCAGCAACTGGACTGTTTCCACCCACAACAGAAGTCATCTACGTAGGTGTGTGCAACAATAAAAGAAAGTTTGTTTTTTTTTTTTTTGATAACACTAAGAGAGAGTAACTGAACATTTTGTGGGCAAGAAAATATTAGTGAAAAGCTGACAAATTTATGTATAATAAAACTCCTCGTAGGGACTGATGGTACTTTGAATTTTTTTTCCTAATGTCATTCTTTTCTGCCACGTTTTTGGCCTCTTTCACTATTGCAATTGGAATCTCTGAACTGAAATTTTGTAGGATCTCATAGTCTGCCAAATGAAAGCCATATAAGTGAAATCAAATAATCCTGTTATTTTTTCCTGTTTTATATCTTAGAGGGAAATAAAGCTTTCGTTACCAGACCGTAATTCTATTTCTCATATTAGACATTTCACCTCAGATGATCACTTCTATGTGTTTGCAGAAAACAAATATTTTAGTGTTAGTGCTCTGCTTTGTCTATGCCTAATATCCTAGTTCTGAAGGAAAGTGTATTTCTAAGAATATACAGAAATTTAAGGCTTGATATGAATTCCATTGGAGTCAATGAGCCAGAATTTTAACGTTCAAGACAGGTATCTCAATGAGAGCTCATCTCAGGTTTTACCGATATATTTTCTATCAAGTTCCCAGTTGAATGAAAACATTGAAATTGAAGCTCTGCATGAGAATGTCCAGACTTTTCAAAAATAGGTGCTTTAAGTTAAAAAAAAAATCACTAGAATAGAAAAGGGAAAAAGTAAAGAACAGCAGATAAGCTCTGCAAGACTATAATTTTGTTTTTAAATTGAATTGTAGCTTGAATATCTATTTTCAAACCATACATCATCAAACACAAGTAGCTAGGACTACTGACCAAAAACCATAATTATCATGATGCAAGAACTTAGAGATGGCATGCATTAACTCTCAGAATCAAAAAAAAAGAAAAAAAAGTAGCAGCTAGAATAACTGACAGTAAAGGAAAGTAGTCCATCCTCCTCCCGGATCTCGGTGAGGTTAAAGGCGAGCCCTTCCAGCACCTGAGTCTGGGTAGCAGATCTGGAGCCCAGGGCCAGCAGGGCAAAGCC